CTATCCGAGCCCCTCAGGCTCGTCCTTTCCACAACCAAAAAGTCCATGACATGTAACTGGAGGAATTTTGGGGGATCTATGCTCCCGGGGAAATTAGCCCCGAGAGTCTAGAGCCGTCCACGGGTGCTTTTAACCCTTTACCCGTCCGTCGGTCAAGGCTCAAAGAAAACAAAGCACGAAAGCTAAAACAAAATCGACCGAAGTCAGGTGTTTTGCGTGTCTTTGCCGAGGTTTGGGGGGACTGTGGCGCGCCACTTTTACTGTTCCTGCCAGTGAGGGCTCACATGACAAGATTCATCGTGAAAGAGATGGTGGTGATGTGATGGCGTCGGATAGTGTACTGTGTTGGCCAGCCACTGGCACATTCTGTCTTTGTCAATGAAAGAAAGCATCCGGTCGCTTGATCTATCAATCACAAAGGAATCAGGTACGGTGCCTATAGTCAATGAACTGGAATTTGAGATTGTTGTACTGTAGACTGGTGTTCACCCCCGTACTTTGGTGCCTGCATTGCTTCTTTTTGGTGTTCCATCACCAACATGCCGGCAATCTGAAGCCGGGAAACCCTAGAGATCAAGCGACTGGTCAGAGGGGTGTCCTTTTGTCCAGGGGTACATATGCGAAGCAATCTAGATTCGATCTTCTCTGCTGCACCGTGCTGGATTCAACCATGATCTTGTCGCCTTAGTCGACAATGATAGATGTATATATCAAGACTTGACTGTCTACTGGTCGAACTCGATTGAATCTGTCAGGGTCGATGCATCCATCAAAGCATCATCCAAATTAACAACGTGAATAACAAAGCAAATCGAACCATGCGACCGAACCTGACAGACAGCACCCCTGGAATTCCAACAACAATCACCTGAAACACAAAGGACTTGCCACCCTTCTCCGAAAGTCTCAATAGTCTCAACCCCAGCACCAAGGCACACATAAACAAAGAGAAGGGGAGCGAGGAGGGTTTCGGTGGATGGATAAACCAACATCCACCCATCCGTCTCCGCCGTCCGTCTCTCCCGCAAACTACTACCCCCCAAGGTGCCGCCGCCAAATACCCGTCTAACCGCCTAAAAGTGTGTGACTGACTCTGACCACCCCTGGTCCAGTTTAACCACCGGCCCCCCTCCCCCGATGGTACACTCCCGTAGGCTTAGTCTGGATTTACCGGAGTACTGTACGTACGTACCAGGGGGGAGGGGAAGGAGTCAACTCCCGAGTTGACGATGATTAACCACGCATTCCTAAACTTTTTCTTTCCAAACGGTCGGCTAGTTCGGTCGGGTCGGGTCTGGGGCTAAAAAGGACATTTCCCTGGGTACCTAATCTGTAATTAGCCACACGCTGGGATTTATTCCTACTCCCCCGGCAATGTCACACGGCAAAATTTTCATCTGGAAGCGCTTTTCCGCGCCGGTCTTCCGCACGGAAATTGTACAGAACTGGTTCATTCGCAATGTTGGCAGCGGGTTGGCGGGTTGGCTAGTTGATGAGGTGTGAAACTGCGGAGTGTGTACGTAGTAGGAAGTAGGACTTGTTCGTGGCTGAAACGGAGGAGGACCCAGTCGACTCTAGAGGGGTGGTAGTTGGTGGTCCGTGGAGAAGTAAGCCTGGCTCCGCCTCTGGCCCCAGACTCATGTGAAGATGGTGGTACTCAGTACTCCGTACTCCGTACTCAGTAGAATCAATCAGCCCCGGGGAAAACAGCCTTGGACGGGAGGATGGGGGCCCGCTGGCACTGTCCGCATAGTTTGGGGGTGGCAGAGGACAAGCAGGTGATGCTTATATGCAGATAGCCGAGCGTTGCGCAGGGTCTGGTCGGTATGGCGGGCATAGTAAGCTCACAGATTGGGGAGTGTTGTCTGCTCATGTTGGTTTGATGTTTAGTGTGACACTTGTCAATATCAAGCAAGCATAATGATGATGTGAAAGAATTGAGCACTGTTCATTTTACTGCGGGCCTCCTATAGTGATAAGTAAAAGGGGGAAACAAAGTCAGGCACAAGAGTCACTTACTGAGTACGTAGATGTTAGTCATTACTCCACAACTGGGCAGCCATCATATGGATTCATGGATTCATGGATGGAACCTAATGGTGGGTCAGTCACTAAACTGGGGAACGGGTATCCAGAACTTTCTTTGTTCTGGCTCCCCGTCGGTTCGTGCCAGATGCTAGACAATACATCAAACTAATGTCCATTGACAGCGGGTAAAGCCTTTCTGGTTCGTGTACCCCAGGGTTCCATGGTCGAGACCACAACTCCATGGTACCTTCATTGCCGTATCAACTGCTGATGATTATGTGTTTGTTGGATATACAATACAACCAGGGGGACGACCGGACTACTGTAAGGAGGAACACCACATAAGCAGGGCTTAAGGAAATAGCCGGGCGGATACCGCGCATTGGGGGGAGGACCGAGTCTCTCTCTTCCTGAATTCCCACCATCAAGGGCTAGGCTTCCATCTCTGCTGAAGATTATCTTTCTTTTTTCCTTTTTTTTTTTCATTTTCACGTTTCTCGCGATCAGCGCACGAGTTGATTTGATTCTCGAGTCGTGTTTGTCATTGCCGTGGACAAAGCGACAAAGCGACAAAAATACCACCACCATCAATGTTTGCCTGACTGACCGCCAGATGGAAGGGTCTCTGGGAAAGACTCGATCGCATCACCATCTGGACGGATCATGCACGCTGTGTGTTGTTGTTATACCTCAACCACCAGTCATTTCTCCCCAGCCTAAACACGTTTGAAACTTCCTGGGATGCTCAAGCCTCAAGGTGCCACAAAAGTAAACGCTCTACCCACTTCCCCCACCGTTATCACTAAAAGGATGTACATACGTACATACATGTGAGTACATTACCTCCACTCCCATCCTGACTTACAGCGGGCGGATATGTATGTCTCTTATCCCCCCTTCCATGCTGCACATCACCCAACCTCCAAATGTGGATGTCAAACATTAGGAGCGGTGAAACCTTGAGGTCTATTAATTTGATCGACAAACAGCATAGGGGGAAAGGGGAGAGGGTGCCGGCGACAAGACGAGGCGAGGCGTCTTTCTTTCTGTTTGAGCTACAGTAAAGTAGTCAAAGCGAGCGAGAGGGCTTTGAAGCTTGAATGAACAGCTGGACAGCCTTCACACACCGACAAATAGACCGCAAGATCCCGTTGCGATGCACGACAACCCAAGCCGCCAAACCACCAAGCTTGGCCATCCGATCCCCTGATTGAGGTTATCGCGGGATCCGAGATGGGAAAAGTAGGTACTTACGTTGTCGAGGGGTCAGTGTGGTGATGATGATGCTACTACTGCTGCTGCTGCTGCTGCTGATAATGAAGAGAATGCTATTGGGACTGCTGATGGGGTCGGAGTGAGACCACCATTAACCCTACTACGGGTCCATTGGGTAGGAATTATGGATCAACTACTCCCTCGGTTCTCTTTCCCCCTCCCCCCCTGAGCTCTGAAACATGGGCTGAAATGTAGAGGGGGCCTATCGATTGCCAGTCCTGAAGACCTGACGATGTTTCTGATCGCAATGCAGTGCCATGCCATGCCATGCCGTCAGCTGTGCTATATCATCATTGTTGGTCGGTACTCTTGTCTGTTCGCTGGACTCGTGTTGTGTGAACTGTCAGCTTTATTTTGGGGGTGGCGGAGAAAATAAGTCCATGAGAGGGGGGGGAACTGTGTTGATCGGGAAGATGTACGGAGTAGTGAAGTACCGGTTAAGAGCAAGATAAAATGAATAAATAAAACAAAATAATAGAAATAAAAATATTACCTACGGTATGCGGCAAAATCACGATCCATGAGTAAATCCGGAAAGCCCCATCGGTAATCTTAAAGCTGCACCTTTGACTCATCAGGATTCTTTGACAGTTGACTTTTTCTTCCATTTCCACCCCCACGGCCTGGAATCCGATCCGATCTTCCCCGGGCCCGTCAACTTTGGCCGTGGAAAGAAAAACAAAAAGCTTTAGTATATAAATAAATCCGTCCCCCCCAAAAGGAGTGCCCACGGTCTGAAAAATGAAATGCGAAAAGGAAAAAGTGATAGATCCCACGCCTCAATTGACCAGGGTCGGCTGTCAGATTGATCGAGTCCACCTGCAAACGATTCATCGCGAAGACACACCCTCACCCTTTCACCTTGTTCATTATTATTTATCCAATGTACTTTTGTTGCTCTTCCCAAGAGGGAAATCGATGTCTACTGGACCCGTTTCAACACCAGGATCCGTCTGTTTGGAGACTTGATCAACATCAACATCAACAACACGACGCGTGAAGATCGTGACTTTGGTACTTCTGGGACTACTTCTAGGACAAGTTCTTCTCCTTCTGCTACTTCTCCTCCTCCCTGTCGACCTCCGCCTGATCGCCGCGCTTGACTTGCAGCTGGCGGAAAATTCCAAACTGGTCGCTGGACGCATTTGTTTGGTGCGAATTGAAGGTCCCGTGGGGCCCTTTTTTCCCTGAATATTTCTTCTTTCGGTCATTTCTTTTTGACCCCCCTTCCCTTCTTTTTCTGATTTTCCCTTTTTGATTTTTTTTTATTTTATTTTCCTTTTAATCTAAAAATTAAAAGACAATAAAATAAATTAAATTCAAAGGAATAAAAACAAAAAGAAAAAGATCCATCGCTGCCAACCCCCCTCCCTCCCCGCCTTATCTGTTGGGAGATGCAAGGGAGTCCAGACCCAAAGACGCCTCTTACCCCCGATCGATCTGGCCCTGCTTCTTTCTTCTTATACAAGTACTTTGGCTTCTTTTGCTCATCCACATACACATCCACATACACCTTCACCACTAACTCTACTCTCCGCCATTTGCTCCCAACCTGACGGAGGTGATCGTTGATCCTCCCCTCCCTCCAAGCTTTATTTACTTCCCCAGCTCCTCCTCCACAAGGTCGATCATCTTCTCATTCTCCACACATTCTATATCTACTCCTCTCATCTCCCTCCTTCCTCTTCGACACTCTCCACTCTCCACTCTCCACTCTATCAACACAACAACAAACACAAACACAAACAACAACACGCTCTGAATATTTTTCTGCGACCGAGATCATCACCTTATCTATCCGATCCTCCATTCGCAGATCAGACCTCAACTCACAGCCATGTATCCCCTACTTCCTTGGAGTCAAAACCAGTCGAGTGTGCGCTCCTCCTTGAGTGAGGCCACGACCAGCACCCAGACGGTTTCCTTTAGCTTCAGCTATGGCAGCTCCTGCTCGCCTAGTTCGTTGCCGCCTCCACCGCCTCCGTCTCCCAGCGACTCTCTGCTCGACATCACTCCCCGCAAGTGCTCATTTTCCAGCAGCTATGGACTGAACAACTCGTGTGCCTTCCCCTCCTGGCCAAACCGACCATCGCTACTCAGTGCCGATTCCGAGGGTTCGACCGCCAGTGCCTACCTGTCAGATGAGGATCTCTTCCCCAGTGGTTCCGATGTGCCTTCCGACAGCGCCATCGATGAGGAGTCCGCTGCACAGGATCCCGCCATGGATCTGACAACCGAGCAGCAGATTCAGATGCTCCGCGCTGCAGCCGATGAGGATGCCCAGCGCGCGCGTTTCCTGGCCCAAGTACAAGCACATGCCAGAGCCCAGCAGGCGATGCGTGTAGCCCAAATGGCAGCCACCGAGCGCGAGAACGCCAAACGCAACAAGAAACGCAAGGCCCTTCCCGAGCGGAAAAGACGCACTACCTCTGGGACCAAGGCAACTATTTGCCGGGTCTAGAGACCGGAAGAGGGTGCCCGCCGGGTCCTTCTCTGTAACATCAATCTCATATCTCAGCGTTCTTGTGCATGTTTCACTCTCGATACCCCCTCCCACGGTCTGTTTTGGCGGAGATTAGGGCTGTCGCATGATCAGCGCCGATCTATCCGCAGTTATTGGGCTCTATCATATGCGATCAGCGATTCGCATCCGGGTCTTTTTCTTTTTTTGCTTCGACACCCACTCTCTTAATTACTTTTTTCTTCAACTTGCTTTTTCTTCGCCTGCTCCTCTGGATCTGAATTTCGGCCAGATGATCAGGCTCTTTTCTCTCACTTCCGACCAGTCAGACTGGATTCTCCGACAGAAATTCAGGCGTGTGAGCATCACAAGGCGCGCTGCATCCGATTATTCTCGAACGGGGATTTCCCATCCTCCGGGAACAAGGCGAATATGACGATGACGAAAGTGAGAGCCGCACGTGCGCGAGCCTGGGGTTACGCGCCGTAGCCGGCGGGCGGAATTGACAGCCTGGAGCCCGGAGTTTCCAACCACGCAGTCTGATTTGGTGCCCGAGCGCTGGCTGCCTGATTATCTAATTTCCCCTTCGCTGTCGGCGCATTTGATTGAATTCGAAAATCCAAGCAACCGCAACCCCTCCTTTTGCCTTTCGTTACTTCTTTTATCGCCCGTACTCCCCCGAAGGCTCGCACACCACCCCCTGCACGCCGGACAGGGCTTTGCTCTGCTGGCTGAGCCTATCAATCCGCACGATCTCACCGCCATTGTCAGGACACGCTCTGATCGCATTACCTACCTTGCCTTGATCAAGTGAAGTGACTCATTCATTGAGAACTGACTGGCATGCGCTTTGATACTCTTCCTCGGACTTGCGGACTTCAGTCCCAGGCGACTATGCGATGAGGCGAGATAACGATCGGTGCCGCGCATTCCTCGATTTTATTCTAATCTCCCTATCTACAAGATTTACCTGACCACACACCACCACCACCACCACCTTGACTGTTTCATTTTCTATGCGTTGTCGCGACGGTGTTGGCGGTATCTCGCTCTTACCTCATAATCATCTTTTCCTTTTGCTATCTCATTATGTTTTCCCGGTTATACCCATGGGGTTTTTCTACCTAATGTTCCAAGTTTACTATTTTCGGGATAACAAGCGCTACTTCCTCACCATCAGCTGGATTACCTGATTTGTTGTTTTTATTTTGTTTTTTACCATCTGGCCACAAGCGTCTTCTTCTTCAAGCGTCCGTCGGATGATTAGATACCCCGTCATGTATGTATGCCTCTTTTTTACTTTTACTTTTTCTTTTTCTTTTTTTATTTTCGTTTTCTATTTTCGAGCCCCATACCCCCGAGCGTGTTACACAGAACAGCTCCAGCGTTACTTTGCTTGAAATTGCATAGCTCGGCGAACCATACCCTAGCGATTAATGATGCTTTGTTTTGTTTTGCTTTGCTGGATAGGATAGGATAGGCAATTAGGATAGCAGACCCAGGTTGCAACTGGATAAGAAATGAAGAACTACATCATATTTGATACTTTCGTTCCTTGAATACTGCTGGCAGAGATTGAGTTCAGAGTAAGAAAACGAGTGATCCCACCCAACCTCATCTTCCTATAGTCGAAAAGGTTGGAGGAGCCTATCTTCGTAAGCAGGCGGTGCTCGCTATCCCGCTGCTGGTTATCGAGGTATCTCGGGTGATAGCTGTGTCGTTATCGAGATGTAGAATGCAGAATTGGATACCGTATTGGGGTGAGATGGAGATGCAGAGGAGTAGCAGTTAGTAACTAACTAACACTCTCTGACAGCCTCAACGGATTCTGTACGCCTCCCAATCTGTGTCCACGTTACTTCCCAACTCCCTCCCTCCCTCTAGGACGTGTGAAAATGACAAAATGATTAAGGAAACTAGTCTAGTGACTGAACAGAATACAGAGCCCTCTCTAAAGCAGTAAGAACCCCTCTACAGCCCCCGTCCCAACAACACCTCCCCGACCTCCCGCATCAACGCCTCCTCGCCCCGGAGCTCGACAATCCGCCGTTTCGCCGCAATCATCTCCCGCACCCCCATCGCCTTGCAGAGATCGACGACCTCCCCGTCCTCGGGCGCCTCGTACACCAATAACCCCAGCGCGAAGAGGAGCCCGTGCACCGCCTCGCGGCTCTGGGTCTCCCGGTCGAGGGCCTCGACCAGCGAGGCGACGAGCTCGACCTGCATCTCCGTGGGGAGGGGGTCGGGCTGCCCGGCGAAGCGGGCGTTGTGGTTGTGCGCGGCGAGGTTGTAGGCGAAGGAGGCGGCGACGATGCGCAGGTTCGGGTGCGGGTCGAGGAGGGAGGTGGTCGTTAGGTTGAGGAGGAGGGGGAGGATTTGCGGGACATTGGTTTGGGAGGACAGCGACAAGAAGTGGTCGGGGTAGAGGGGGCTGGTGAAGAGGTTGCAGGCGAGTTGGCAGAGGGTGATGCGGAGGGGGTACGGGGTTGTGGCGGCGGAAGTGTTGGCCGAAGACAGCAGCGTGCGCAGGAGCTCGTGGTGCGGGTCTTCGGCGGCGAACCAGCCGGATACCCTGGGGTCGAGGAAGAGGAGTCGGACGAGGTCGACGAGGGCGAATTGGTTCTCCGGGGTGAGGGTGCCTAACGTGGTTTGGAGGTAGGGGCCGAAGGTTGGCAGGGAGGTTGGTAGGGCGACGTCGGCGGCACCAGCAGAGTCAGGGCTGGTGGCGATGAAGCGACGTTGGATGAAGTCGAGGATGGAGGTCAGCGTGGAGTCGTCGGTGCGGGGGTGAAGCTTCTGTCGGAGCTTGTCGAGTGGAGGGATCTTCTTGTAGGTGACGTAGTTGGGGAGGTGACGCTGGAAGCTGGGGAGATGGAGCTGGCGGTGACGGTGCGTCGGGGTGGCCATCTCCAGCAGCAGGCGCACGTTGCCGCGCAGCTGCGCCGGGTTGGCGCCGGACCACTCGTCGACCTTCTGGCCCTTGAGGAAGGTCATGAAGGTGGGCGTGGCGCGCACGCGGTATTTCGTGCTGACGTCCATCGCCGTGCTGATGTCGACTTTGATGAGGATGGCGCGGTCCCCGGCCTCCTCGGCCAATTCGTCGTACGTGGGATAGACCATCCTGCAGGGCGGACAGGTGGCGGAGGTAAAGAAGATGACAGCGCATGATTGGGAGGCGGCGGTGAGGTGCTGCTCCAGCTGGGCCAGGCTGCTTGCCATTCGGACCACGCCCTGGGTAACCGGCGGCGAGGAGGGTTGTTGGGCCGGGGTCGCTGCTGCTGCTGCTGCTGCTGCTGCTGCTGGTCTGGAGGCGGACGGCGCTTGAGCACCGTCTGTGCCAGTGCCTTGAGTGACACCACGCAGGGCCATCTCAATCTGTGGCTTCATCATCTGCCCAAAGGGAGTGCTCAGGAAGGTCTGCGGGAGGTTTTGGATGTGTTCCGGGATGCCCTTGCCGAGCAGAAACATGGCCAGGTCTTGGGTGAAATTGTTGCAATTATGCAGGAAGAGATCGTAGGACTGAAAAGGATGTTAGCTGTTGATCTGTGGGTAATGCAAGAAGCATGACACGCACGCACGCACCTCGGGCGTATAGATTTCTGCCATGGACTGAATGTATTCCTCAATCACGTCCAGGGGGAGCTCCGTTTGGCCCAGATGCAGCTTCTCCATCGGCTGTCCATGGTGTGTGCTACCGGGGACAGCCGTCTGGATGCCTTGGCCGTAGTAGTACTCGACCCCATTGAGGACCAGCGAGGTGTGGTAGATGGCATCGATTTGGGTGCCAGTCAAGGGCATGGAATACTAGGGGGGGGGGGGGGATGCTTGCATTAGACACGATGCAGGTGCTGCTGAGCGACATGACTTACCAATCGCGCAAGACCCTGTGGGAGAATGTGTCAGTAATTTGGACAGCACCAAGACTCAGAATCAATAGAACCACCTTGGAAAGGTCATAGACGTACAGCTCAACATCCATGATGAGTGGACTGGTTGACAGGACTCTGTGAATGGTGCTGGATTGTTCGATCTGCTCTTTTTTAAGGCGTGTAGATCGGAGCAGGCATCCTTGCGGTTACGTCAGCCGCAGGCAGTCACGAGATGGAAGGGGAAAGATTCTCGAAGACGGTGGAATAGACGGTTAAATCTGGATAAAGATCTTCAGGTCGAGACTTACAGCGTAGTCAGATGTACTAAGTGAAGTAACTTGTTTAGTATGTAAGTATCATGTCGACGAGAGACTCGGGCGAAGTGAAGAAAGACCGAAAAGGGTCGCCTCCACCAATCAACAGCTCCCCCGCGCCCATGGCATTTCTTTGACATCATCTCCTCATCTCCTCATCTCCTCATCTTCTCCAACTCCGATTCTACTGAACATTCCACTTTGCGCCCACGCATTCTTTTCTCCCACCTCACAATCCCACAGCATGGTAACGCAACCCTTCCCTAATTCAAAATCAACTCCCGAACAAAATTCCTAACCTATAAACACACCCTCAACAGCCTCCCAAAGCCCGCAAACGCGGCCCCCCACCTACCACCGCAACCTCCTCCACCCCGGCCCCGAAACGCGCGCGACAATCCAAACTCGCCAAGGAGAACGACATCACCGCCGCCGAAGAAAGCGAGATCAAAGAAGTGTTTCACTTATTTGTTGTTGACGACGAGATCGATGAGTTCCCCGACGAGAAGGAAGGGGTGATCCCGGTGGAAGATGTGAAGAAGGCACTTTCGTATGTACTGTACAGTACAGTACAACTGTACTCGTTTTCTCATCCTATACCTCCATTGAGCATTTTTTTCTTCCAAATACAGTCCACATACCCCCGGTCCTCAACTCTTTGACTAATGAACACACACAAAAAAAAAGAGCATTAGGCCTGCCCCCCACCACCCCCACCGAACTCCCCGCCATCCTCTCCGCCCTCGACCCCACGGACACCGGCTACGTCCCCTACGAACCGTTTCTTACCGTCGCCGCCGCCAAGCTCCGCTCCCGCTCCGACGAGGCCATGGCCGCCGAGGTCGATGCGGCGTTTCGGCTCTTCACGCGCGGGGGTAGCGGGCGTAGCGGGAGCGGTGCAGGCGCAGGCGCAGGCGCAGGCGCATCCGGTAGCAGCAGCATCATCACCCTCCACCATCTGCGACGGATCGCCCGCGAGCTCAAAGAGGAGGGGAACTTGGATGATCAGTTGCTGAGGGATATGATCCTCGAGGCGAATGGGGGCGCCGGGGTGGCGGCGGGTGTGACTCTGGGTCAATTTCGGGAGGTGATGCAGCGGGCGGGGGTTTTTTGAAGCTCTTCATGGTGAGAGGGGAGGGGGATTTATGGTGATGGATGGGTGGATGGAGGGAGGGAGGAAGGGCTATAATGGGATGGTGTGGGGCTTGGTGGCTGGTTTCGATGGGTCATGAACATGAAAGGCGATGATAATGGATTATGTGGCGTTTATTTTGGGTAAAGGGCGCCAGGCAGGTGTCAATACTTCGGAGTACATTGGTTATAGCGGGCGTTGAGGGTTCAAAATGGGTAGGTAGGTACAGTACTGTACAGTATATTGTCGGCATCGCGTGCGTTGGTGGTTGTGACGACATTGTACAAAGTTATTGGATGGTTGATTAACAACGGTGCAAGATGAATGTCATGTGAACATATCATTAGATCTAGCATGCTTAGTTCCTTGTCAAGCAAGGGTTGAGTATAATAATGTATGAGCCCCCTAATCGCCTACCGGCCGCACCTAAAATACAAACATTGTTGTACAGATCTTGCAGCTGAAGCACAGTCCACTAAGAGAGAAATGAGAAAGGACAGTTTTCCAAATGAGAGAGCAAATCAAACGCCGTGGCAATGAGTTGTGCACATGGGGGGTATCACATAACGCTGATATACATAGTTTCGGGTGTCAGGCAGGATGGATCCATTAATCCACCTCCAACCCCAGCGAAGATTTCTCGCCAAGAGGTTCGACCGGCAGCGAAGCCGTGACGCTCGTTGCTTGCGACGTGTCCGAGACAGAGTCCCCCGTGGTTGATGTAGCGGACATGCTGTCAGACGGGGGCCGGCTGAATATGGACGGCGGCGAGATATCGCCGTCTTGCGAGGCCATTTCGTCCGTGTCCGCGCTCCCAGTCGAGCTCGGTTCCACTGCCTCGTAGAATAGCATAAAGGCACCGCCTTGGGACATGACGCTCGCTTCGCTGACCATCTGCACGTCCTCGTCGCTGAGTCGGTACCATCGCTCGGGTTTCTCCTTGTCGCCGTCCGCTTCGAGAACGGCTTCCGGTACGTGCGCCGGGAAAACCTCCGTCGGGTACTTGCGGTAGCAGATGTAATGACCATTCTCGTGGCGACCATAATGCGTGACGACAGCTCGCAGCTCGTAAAGTCGGCTTGAGGAATTGTCACCGCGACCCCGCGACAGCATCGAAATTCTAGGGTCAGTTCCCCATTGCTCTATGTCCTTGTGGGCTGGATCTTGGGTTAACCCTCCCAGGCACCATTCGTTCAGGTCCATGGTTGTGGGGAACTTGACGGCAGCATAATTCTTCCGCAGCATCCCTGTCATCTCATCAAACATGCTGCGGTTGATGTGAACAGCCAGGCACTTCGGGGGTCGGGCAATCACGGCCTGGCGTGACTTGGTAGTCGATACCCGGTTCTTCGAGGGGATATGGCATTTTTCTGACAACGTCTTCTCCGCAAAATCTTCCTCCTCGAGAGCCTCGTCCACGGCTTGCAGACGCTCCCGGGCCGACTTCCTGAGAGCATCCGAAACCGTCTGGGACTCAGAACTCGTCGGCGGGGTATCCTTTTCCTCCTCAATTTGAGACAGCAGATTCAACAGTTGACTCCGTGTGCGCAGCAAGGTACATTTGGCACACTCCACCCCCTCGATTGGCTCCAAATGCATATACTGATGAAGACACTCCCGGATGTCGTACTCGAACTTGGGCCCAAGAGGCACCGTCAAGCAGTTGAACGGGATCAAAGACAGGCCCTCGGTCCACCCACATTGTATACAGCCGACGCGCTGCGCGAGAAGGCCCTCCAACGGGTTTTCCACGAGCTGGGGTTCCGCGGCCGACCGCAGATCCACAGCACGATCCGCCTGCATCAACCCTCGATCCCCAGTCCCGATGACATGTTCCTGCGGCCCAGCCATTTTCAAGCCGAGGTTGCGCGTCTGCCGCCGCGTCGCTTGCCGCACCTCGAGGTCCAACTGATCCACCACCTTCGCAAAGTATTCCTGTGCATCCTGCTGCTGCCAGCTGCTCATCGACTTCAGATCCGGCGGCGTCCAGAGTCGCTGTCCGTAGCTTTCCGCACTGTTCAGCCGCTCGATGATCTCCTTGAGGGCATGGTGGGTGGAAAACGAGGACCGCTGGCCCAGTCGCTCGAGGTTCCTGTCGAGAAAGTCCTCCAGCGAGTGGAGGGATGCCAAGCCCTGGATGATGCTGTTCTGGTAGCAGGAGTTGTCCCAGTTGCCCAGACCGGGTGGAGAGTTGTCCCTGCCGCTCAGGAGCGACGTGCTGAAGCCCGAGAAGGTCGACGCGCGAGGCAGGAGGGCGGAGAGGAATCCATTATCGAGGCCAAGGATCCGTCTCATCGCTTCGCTCTTCGCTTCAAAGCTCATCGACGTTGACGAGAAGGAGTCCAAAGTGTCGGGTCTCGTGGAGTCAAGTGCGGCGACCAGTCGCGACGGGGTCAGGCGGACGACCAAACCCCACGCGAAATGGGCCAGCGAGAAGGGAACGAAGCCAAAGTAGTTGAGGATGAAATATACAGATAGGATGGTCACTAGTACGCCGGCTGTGAAGTTGGAGTGGCCTTGCAAATGGTGGAAAGTGGTATCATAGTTGCTGTAATGCACGCTGCTGAAGGGTCTCTGAGTGGAGAAGTCAATCCCCTCTCTGCGAGCGTTCATGGCTGATGAGAGAAAGTCAAAAGCTGCGGCATGGGGACCGAGCTATAAGCATATCGAAATAAGCAGTAAAGGTAAGTAGAGCCAAGGGTAAAGACAGGTAGGATGGTCTGATGCGTGATGCGAAGACAAAAAGGCAGTCAGCCAGTGCGTGCAGAATGGATGGCGGCCGAACAAGCCGCGCCGCAAGGCCGAATGCGCGTTGGGTCACTACCGCCACCCGGAAAAGGTTTTATCGATAGGCAACTTGCAAGAAAGGAAAAGAAAGTCTCCGTCCGTCTCCACAACAATTTATTCCCCATCGCTCGGGCTCACTCGGTATTCTCTGCTGTGTGTGCACCATGGCAAAGTCGAGACGTAAGTGTATTACTTGTTGCGCTTGAAGGGCCTTGGAAAAGCTACGGTTCATTCCTAACGTTATCGCATTACTACAGCCCAGTCCAAACATTCCCGTGCTGCCCGCCGGGCAGCTTCTCCCAGTCTCGATCTCGATAAATCGTTGACCACCCTCCCTCGGGCGGAAGAAACCACAGTGCAACGTGAATCCATTCTGGCCGATCGAGCAAATGCTGGCGTCTCGAAGAAGAAATCCAAGTCGAAGCCTTTGACTAAAGCGCAGCGTGCGAGGCAGCAGAAAGGAATGGAGAGAGCAGAAGCGGTCATGGATCAGCTCGAGAGCAAAGTCAACCGAAGTGTCAACCGCGCTAAAGTTGTCAAAGCTCGTAGGGTATGTGCTCAACATATCGTTCATGACTCCTTGCGCACGATCTCTGACATGTAATAAATCTAGGGCGAATGGGAGGATCTGAACCGCAAGGCGTCGAAGACCATGTTCCAGACTCTTGCCGATGAGGCCGATGACCTCGACGACGCCATGATGGATGACTCGGCCCCTGCTAAGAAAAGCAAGCCTGCAAAGCAAGCGAGCTTTGCCGTTCAGAACCCGGTCGCCGATCAACATGCCGACAACGATGAGGATGAGGAGATCACTTGAACCAGTTTCGCAGGAGAAAGTTTTGGGACTGCACCAAATCTTTATTTCCTGGGCCTCAGCTGATTGATCATCCGGTCGATCTCGGCGGCGGCTGGTCCCGACGCCCGGGTCTGCAGGAGCTCGAGGGCATTCAGATTCTTTGCCCGGAAGGCTTCCTCGCCTGCTTTGGCAATCATCCCACACTTCACCCACATTTCCACTTTTTCGTCTGCGGGCAGGTTGGTGCATTTGGGGACAAATACTGAGGCGAGCTTCGTGTTCCCTGCTCCCAAGATTTCATTGTAAAAAGGCTGTTGTGAGTATTGTGAGTATATGCATGCTTCAAGGGCGCAGGGTCGTGGATTCGTCTTACCTCCCACCCTATGGGGGATTTCTTGCTTTTACCGATATCTTCCAGTTCGCCCCAGTCTCGCTTAGCGACTAGAGCTCTCAATCTCAACCACCAGAATGTTTTCTCTGGCATCTTAAATTCACTCTGAAGCTTCTGTGCTCTTTTGCCGTAACCTGATCGGATCAACCTAAATATCGTTTCGTTCAAGCTTAAGCCTAGAAACTCGGTCCTGTCAGCAAGATCCTTGTCCAACGCTTCCTGCACTTTTAGAAGCTGTGAGGCTTCGGAGAGTAGTTTCTGCTGCAGGACCACCGAAGGATCTTTCGAGTCTGACAACAGACGGGTTGCCAGGTGAAGCCTTTCCGACTTCCGCGGCAAGTCCGTCTCTTTCAAAGCCTCCGAAAGAAGTACGTTCGAGCCATCAATCGGGCGGTCATCTTGGTAGAACAGGTCTTTGAGCAACTCTGTGTCCTGTGAGCGGGCATTTGTTTCCACTAGAGCAGACGCCATAGGACGGGTGTTGATTGTTCGAAAAAAGCTCGCCAGGGGAAGTTTTGTCTTGAGATGTAGAAGGACATAGTTCACTAGATCGACGTCTCCACTCTCGATTGCCTTGTCCAGGGCAATCTCATCCTCCTCCATATTCAACAGTAGCGGAACCTGCTTACCGGCCCGCGGTTCGTGGTTCAGTAATTGTGTTGCGAGCTGCACGCGCCCTTCGTCGTAAGCCGTCTGAGCAATCAACTCAAACGATATGCCTGGCTTTCCATCTAACCTCTGGACAATGAGTTTACATACGGCTTCGTCATCTCCCGTGGCGACTTTGACTTTCTGGCTTGCCCAATGAACGTAAATCTTGTCCGCGGCAAGTTCGAGGTATTCGGAAATTCGGATCGCCAGAAGATACTCATGTCTGTTCACTAAACGTTCAATGAGTCGCTCAGGCGTGAGGCGCATGTACTGCTCGTAAGAGATAGGCAATCCGATCTGATAGTCTCTCACTGCTTTCAACACTCGCAGTTTCTCCGTCATTTCCACGAATTCGTCGCTGTTGTA